AAGACATTTATGTCTCTTTGAAAGCATATGAGCAGTCTGATTGACCTGAGTAGCTCAGAGTTAAATACACTCTGCATGAGGCGTCTGGGGATGGGTGTTGTCTTCATATAAACAAACTGCATAGGGACCAAATGGTTGGGGGCAGGGGGTTGCTCTGCTCGATGTCAGTGCTTTGCTGTATTCCGCCTTTGTTCCTACTAATGTTACTTTTCCAATGACTTGCAAATTTTTCTTTACTCGTGTGTAATGTCTGTACCTTTGACTTTCAGAACACTTCACCGAAGAATCATATTAAGTAACAATCAAAAAATAACTCATCAATCTGTGTAGACATGGCAGGCACCATAACAACATATTAACATGTTATAGGTACAAGTTGAAGAAGAAAATGGTGAAAAGCTGACAGCTTGTTAAAGATGATTTGTTTATACAAGTGCTAAAGTTATGTTTGATATGTTAATGCAACCTCATTTTCTAGTAAAGGCCAAACACTATTAAGTGGTTATCTGCATTGATTTTTCTATCTTCTGAAACACTCAATTCATTGTAAACCTTCTTTATTCCTTTTGTGTAACTGGAACTAGGACCATCTTTTAACAGTCTCTTTCTGGGTGAACCTCAAGGACTTTCCTCAGTGGTATTCTCCTGGTCCACTTCTTGACTTCTCCGTCAGTGTCCTCTTCAACAGGTTCTCCTTTTTGCAGTTTATCTGGATTTTCCCTGTGGCATTCTCAACCCTCACACCTGGATAGTCACTGAAAGGGGTCAACACCTGCTCAGGGATTGAACTGGTGCCTCTCACAAACATCCTCCTTCTGCTTAATCTTGTTAGCTGATGCTAGTTTAAAAAGGCTCACCAGTTGCCTAATGGTTTAAATTAGAAGATGGGAGGGAAGAACAGGTGTACTTGCTGTCTATCCTTTCTTTCCTGTCTGAATCTCTTCTTATCCTTTCGGTATGTTACCTGCTTTGCTTTTCATATTGTGGCGTAGCTGCTTGTGATATATCCTGTGCTGGGTACAGGGGTATTTGTTTGGAAAGACTGAGTGCATTTAGAAGAGCGCAGTGTATTATGGAAATATGGTTAAAGAGACGATTGAGTACCTGTTGCTGGGAATGGATGATGTAGTGAAAACAGTGCAGTTGGGTACTGATGGTTGCTCAAGGAGCACTTGCAATAGGCTTACAGAGGTTCACTGTCTTACGAGTATGTTACCACCTGAATGAGGCTAGCTAAGGTAGGAGACTTTTTGAGGGAAATATATTCAGAGAGGAGAACAAATGCAAAGGTTTTAAAGAAGAGAGGAAACCTTTTTCTGGTTGGGTTTTTGGGGTTGGTTGGTTTGGGGGTTTTTTTGTATCTTCAGTATTGCCTCTCTGGCTCAAAAATTCTGAATGCATACAACAGACCACATGATGAAGCTAATTCTTGGTGGACTGTTTGTGTGAAACCTTTACAAAATGACATTGTACCATTTGTGAGACTTTAATATCCTCTACTTAGCAAAGTCCTTAGCATTCTAATCAAGGCATATTCTCTTTGACATGCATCTATGCTACTCTCATATTCCTTGATGTACTCAAAGTAACTGACATAAAGAAGCAGTTTTCTCAATTAGCAGCTTGTCTTTCATAAAGTGTTAAACTCACAGGAACTGCCATTTACACGCACAGTTACACCTCAGATCGGTTGTTTAGGCAACCTGTGTTGCAAAAAATATTTTGTCTCTGACTTTAAGAGGATTCTGTTTGAAGACTTCCCAAATATGAATTTTCCCAAACTTGGCATAACAGGATTTAGACATTCTTATTTATAATATTTAAAATGAAACACTTCCTTTAGCTTTCAGTTTTCTTAAAAGGATACATCCAACATTTACTTTTTACCAGTACTGAATTGGACGATGCCTTCTCTTCACTGTGCTCCAAAAAGTATTTTTATATATGTTTTTAGAAGGAAATCCAGTTTCTTACTTGCAGCTGTTGGCATTTTAGAGCCCTGGAGTGAACCAATAAAAACACATGTTCTTTTAAAGAACATCTATTTTTACTGGACCTTACTAACTACCAATGACACAGAATTCAAAAAATGTTGGCTCAAATAAATAGAAGGTCTGCATTGTTTTAAATTCTATTTTTAAAACTTTTTTTTTTTACAGCAAGATTACACAGAAATTTCATATGTTCTTGTTGAAAAAGTGTGTTTGCTTTTGGAATGCTATAATGTTTTAAAAGTAATTCAGGTATCAAAGTGTTGTAGAGTATAAAATTTTAGTAATATGTACACAATGTTGCCATTGAAGAGTATTGTAATACCTTCACAAACAGGTTAATTAAGTCATTTACTTCCTAAACAGATAGAAATAAATAGATTTTGACTGATAATTCAGAACATCTTCTGTTCATACATTGTTTTCAACTTATTAAGACACTTATATGCAAAGGTCAAATTAGATCACCATTTCTTTCAGTGATACCCCTCAAAGTGGATTCAAGCAGTATGGAGATTGAATATTCCTGGGTTTTTTCAGATGTCAACATACTTAGTGGAAATGAAATTGAAGATTAATTACAAAATGCTACCAAGATTAATTTAAATGTAATCATGTCAAGGTTGACTTGATAGGGAGGTACATCCATTTTATGTTACTTGTGTTGCATCTTTATTGTACATGCTTTATATGCTGCATGATAGTAGAGTCACACTGCTGCTGTTTATTTCACTGTCCTGTCATCACAGGAGTGGAGAACAGAATAAGATTGCACCCACGTCCTTAGTTGTGCAACCTGCCATGTACATCAAGATGTTTTTTCCGTATGCTCCTCTGGCTAGGTTTTGCTCTTAGCATATTTCCATTTCTCTTTTGGAATCAGGAGAATAGCATTAATATAAATTCATATTTTAAAGGTCGATTGAGATTTTAGCTTTTTAAATAATATTTACTGTAAGAAACCTGTGCTGTTATGAAACTGGGAATTCCAAAGCACTCTTTTGAAGAAGAGTGTTCACAAAGCAGAAAAGTGAGAGGCCTGCTGATCTTACACCATGTAATGTGTAAAGTGTCACAGTAATGTGTGAAGTAGTAGATTCATTTTATTTTTTTAAATGGTGTTTAGATCATGTACGCTAGAGAAAAAACCTGCATAATCTGGGTTTAGCTCCTCAATAGTTTTTTTAGCACTTACATGTCTGAAGGCACGTAATTTTCATGCTGGACATGGAAAAAGAATTACAGCTGCGATTCTGTGATTTGTGATTTTTTTTTTTTTTTAGTCTGTGTGAGAGAGGTAAACATAGACATTAAATGCCTCAAGTCTGTAAAAATATTTGCAATCAAGTGTATCTTAATGTTTTTTCTGTATTTCCCTATTTTATGGTAAAGTCTCTTTTTGTCCTTTTCTTGCAATAAAAGTGAAACTGTGCATTAAGGAACTTTACAACAGACTCTGAGAGAATGCACTAGGCCAGAGAGATTGGCTGCCTTTAAAATAAGTAATCCTATTAGAAATGGGCCCAGATTTCTAACAGAAGAAATTAAATAAAATTCACATGAAAATGTGAATTGATTTTTTTAATAGTACTGTTGGACACCTACACTTATTTGAAACTTACTCAAATATAAGATTGAATCATGCTGGATTATATTCCTGATGTGCAGTACATTGTTAAGGATTTATTTTGTGTTTAAGAATTGTATGTTTTGGTATGTCTTTAAAATTTCTGTCTCTAGATCTTTTACTGTTCCTTATTTTATTTAGAACTCAGTTATAATTTTTGCAGTCCTACAACTTTCTGTTTCATAGTTGTTCTTTTTTTAGAGTTGACATGAGCCGTGCTTCATTGTCCTACATACTGAATTGCTCAGGAAATAGAGTTTGTACACTTGGGAAGCTCAGTTCTGCATCTTCCACAGTCACTCAGCACAAGAAACTGATGTTTCCAGGTCTTTCATTTGAGACAGCAGTGCTTACATGGGCTTTATATCTCCATCCTCATTCCTTTCTTACTAGTGTTTTCAGAAACTATTTATTAAAATAGTTTTTATCAGTTGTCTTTTATTCTAACAGATTCTATCAGTTTAGGGTTTTGGTGGTGATACCCAAACTACTTGCAATATACTGTTTTAAAATGTTCCTGCTAATACTGTGTTTTTCCCTAGTTCTGACTGTTGTTCCCCTGTGTCTTCCCACTACTACATCTGTTTTGTTTTGCTTTTTTTGTAAAACAGTGTTCTTTTCATAAGATAGTGTTGTCTTATGGCAACTAATTGTTGACTGCTGACAACTGATTACTCTTTCAAACCAAGGTAACTGGGCAAGAGGTCTTACAGTTGCCATAAAAAACAGTGAAATATATTTTAACTCACAGTTTGCATATCTTTAATCTGTAAAATAGATGTTCGGCTGACAGCAGTAAGTATACATGTGTATGCACACAGTAACAAATGTTAAATTTTTCTTTCTTTGTCATTAAGTTAAATATTTAAACAAAGCAATCTTAAAACTTATTTTCTTTCAAGATGTGGTGTGTGTTTGGAATTTAGAGTAATCTCTTTGCCTGAAAAATACAAATATAAAAACTACATGTATCCTTTCTAATAAAAGGCTGGGTCCTGGATTTGGGAGGAGGGTCTTTCTTTTGCTTCCTTTATATCCACTTACTTAATACATAAAAGCCAAAATCTAGCCTTATATTGGCATAACTAGGAGCAGAAATTCAATCTGACATTTTTAAGACTTTTTAAAACATTCTGCAAAAGTCTTTATCTGATACTAAACTTAGCTTTTTTTGGCATAAAATTGGACCAGGAAGAAACTGAATAATGATGCACACTTGAAAAACATAGCTCTAGTACTGGTCTGGGAATTTAACTTGCTTTTGTCTGATGCTTTCACTACTGCAGAAATGGCGATGGGGTTATTTACGTTAATTCGTTTGGCTTGTTGGAAAAAAATATGCCCACACTCCTCTACTTAATGGGATTCTTTCCTCGTTGCAGTGCAAACGGCTAGAGCAGGAGCTTCATCATCTGAAAGAGCAGAACCAGACTTCAGCAAACAACACGAGACATCTGACTGCTGAAAACAATCAAGAACGTGCTCTGAAGGTAAATCTCCATTTCTTCTTGCAGGCAAATTAAGGTTGTAAGCCCCTGGTGCCAGCTTTCTGGGCTGCATATATCAGTTGTGTACATTTCGGCAGAAGTGAGCTATGGTGTTTGCCAACAACCCCTTCTTTAAACACAAATACAGCACCCTTCTGTTATGGTTTTATTTTATTTTGTCTATGAAAACAACAAGAAAAAAAATAACATATCCTCCAAATTATTGGGCTGATAATTAACACTAAATTCTTGAGGTCTGTCCTTGCAATATTACATTTTATAACGTGAAGAAAACTGCAACTATTTGCCTCATGGTACCTTTGCAAACCTAATATTTTAAAGCATGGCTGTTTGATCTGTTCCCAGCAGTGTGTGCTGTATTAATAACATTGTTGACCTATACTACTAGTGACCACATAGTTGATACTACTATTTGCAAAAGGGTAGCTAGTTGGAATTGGGAGGAGGAATAATAAGTCTTGTCAATAAGAATAAAAATGAGCAGAGAGGCGGGAGAGGGTCAGAGAAAGGACAGTGTAAAGTGACAGGTTATTGCTGCTTTGAGAAAGGGAAATTGTAACGTCAGTGGAATTGATGGCTACATAAGCCGCTATCTCACCGCCAGCCAGAATAAGAGACTGCCAGGTAAGACGTGCAAGCATCCTGCACACCTATTCAACCGCTATTTTTTTAAAAATCTCTTTTTTGCGTAATGGAGAGATAATATAAATACAGAAGTTACTCTGTTGATACTGTGTTGTTGTTTTAAAACTGTGTTTGATTTAGGCAGTAAGATCCAAACATATCACATTTATAGGCAGATTTTCCTCTGCCTACTATTTTTTTTATTTTTTTTTTAATTCATGCAACAACCTGATTGATGCAAAGTATAGGAACTAGGGTAAATCCTTGTGGTGTTTGACATTTTGCAGTTAAAAAAAAAGTATAATGAATAAAGAGAGAGAGACTGTATGCCACACAAATGCTGTATATGCCAGGGGGCTTATAATTGCCATCAGAATCTGTGGTGAATATTACAAAATCAAGTGTGCAATACTGTAAGCAATCCATCCTCAGATGACTATAACTAGAGATCATAAACATTCAGAGCTGTTTCTGACCACAATAATAATATTGACTCTGGTATCACTAAAAGTTAGCACTTGCTGTGCGTGCTACTTACTGAATATAGTATTTTTTTCATTATTTACGTGCTGACTTGTTTTTTCTGTGTCACTGAAAATATTATGCACAGTCTTTCTATAAGAAAACAGAAATGTTTTATTGAAACTACACTTTTTACATTTAATATTGTCTGACATAATGCTTACAGAATAATTATATTTTCAGAATAAGATGTGACTTAATAGTTCAGAGTGTTACTAGGATTTCATTCTAAGCCTGATATTACTCTCCTAGCACCTAATTTTTAAAGAATTTAATTTCTGACTGTCACAGGCATTTGATTTTTCAAAGTTAGAGGTTAATTGGTCATAGTCTTTTAGCGATGAGAGTCTGGGGAGGAAAAGAGGAATGCTTTTCAATTTTTTTGCAAAGTTCAACTTTTTTTTAATATTGTACCTCTGTAGAGTTTGTCATAGTTCATATTAGTGTTGCCTACAATAAGGAAAGGTCCATGGGAGTACTTTTTAAAAGGCTGATGGGTCAAATTGAATCCTTGACCTTGAAAAGTTTAAAATGCCCCTATAAAATACTGGTGATAGTAGTTAGCTTTGATGCACAGCATATGAACATGCATCCTAAGCACTCATGTAAATTAAAAGCTTATCACCCATTTTTAGTGTAGGTACAGCCTAGAAAATCTGGAATGGCTGGTAGGGATGAAAGTTGTGTCAGCAACTGCTTTGGAAATGGGTTTGACCAGTGCTCTGGGCCTGGTGTGGCTGACTGAGGGGCTCCTGCTGCTATCAGCAGCAGAGCTCACTGCCAGAGAAATACCCAGCCAGAGCCCTCTGACAGGTAACGAACCCACTGTGGGGTCTTGGCACACACTTAGCCTGTGAAACCGTCTTGTTCTTAGCTGCTGCCTCCTGCCTCTTGTACGTGCTCAGTAGCTGTCGTAAGTGCTACACGCAGAGTGCATGTACAGACCCAAGAATCCCGTCCTGTCTCCTCTCTGTTGCAGATCACCCTGTGGGCATCTGACCATTTTCAGAGAAACAGGACAGGCCATTTGTCTCTGTGGTGCAGGCTTAAATGTCAACACAACTATTTTTATTTTTGCCATGATCTAGAGAACTACATTTACTTTAACCACCTCCATGTGCAAACTGGGAACTGCACTATGTACTACTAATTCAGATGTAAACACCTCTGGAAGGAGTTCAGGTATTCCTTCTGTGTCTATCCAGGACAGTTTCTGTTAAGAAAGGGTTTTTTGGGGTTTTTTTTAAATCTTTGATTTTCCATACTCTCTTAAACTTAATTAACATTGTCTGATTCAGTTTGGCAAAAGATGTATCCTGGTGATAGGTGGCAGGTGAGGAATTTGATCTGCTTTAGATTTTCTTCAGGGAATACCAGAAGTGTTGTAAACATCAGATGTGGTGCAAGGATACTTGAAGTCTTAACTGGATAAAAATCCAGTAATTGGGATCAGCTAGATTAAGGATGACCAGTACACAAGAAACCTGTTTCATTCCACTGATGGTATGGTCTAATAGGTAAGATAAGCTGCAAGCTTTCAGCTTTATTTTTAGTTACATTAGCTCACAGGGCTACTGCTACCCTTCTTTTGAGGCAGTAGCACCCATAGACACCTGAGTGAGGCAGAGGAGCAGAGAGACAGATTGCAACTGTGGGAGAGGTGTGGTGGCAGTAAATTGGCCAGATCCAGGATCTGGAGGTCACAAAGATGGTGTAAGCACTTTTGCATACTTTTTTTTTAAAAAAAACACTTTTAGATCCCAAGTCACACCTGAGGATCATGTGACAAATAAAACAAAGGACACATAAGGCATGCTGTACAGACCTATACTGTGTCATCTTATTGTGCACTATTAACATCTGCACATCTTTGTAAAATAGCTCTTAACTAATCTCTGTCATACATATTAGTGGTATGTGATTTAAAATTTCCAAATTTAATGTATTAATTGCATAAAACATTCTTTATGTGGGCTATTCACTCCCACAATGCCAAACTGGTATTCCTAATTTTTATAATATTCTTATTGGTCATAGAGGATAGTATTAATTGAACGAAAAGGCAAATTTAAAATTTCCTCCAAGCAATGCCCACAACTGCACAGAGGTCATTCAGAGAAGAATATGGGCCCCTATTTCCACAGTTAAAGTAAAATAATCCTCTTCTTTGTGAAACCATTTTTAAAAATCTCTTATAATATTTTGGATTGAATTATAGATAAATCTTTTAGGGATAATTGCTTCCTAAGGGCCTATACGTTTGTGCTCTTAGTACATTTTCATAAAATAAGATCTGCAGAGTGCTTTGCAGTTCTAATGTGTCAGGGTCTATACGTAAGATTATTCATTTGTGCTTGGCCTTCATAATTAACATTTGGTCTCTACTGATTCTGATAAATGTATTGCCACAATACCCTAAAATAGCTGATTCAATTAAACATAGCAAAGTGGAAGAATTGCTATTTTTTCATTAGTATTCAAATATTTTTGTACATCATTTTATTGTTGTTAGCTTTGTATTTTGTTAGTGTGTATTTTTAAATGCACAGTTTTAAGTAATACATTTTCCTAAGGAAATATAAAGATTTTGCCAGGGTGAATAGCCTCTTTACTCAGCTGAAGAGCAGGAAATAAGTCTTTTGAAACAAATAACTTAATGTTAAAATTTATAAAAAATGTTTAACTGGATTTGAATGAAACATAGGGAGAGGTGACTTTTTTTCATAGGCCTGATTTATTTCGTAATTTTTAATTAGGTGCTATTAATCTGCTTTAAAGGCCAGAGAGACATACTACTATTACTTCCAAGCCAAACTCTCAAAATGGAGAGGAGGGCTGTTTCATGATGATACACAGGTCAGGTGCCCTTTAGTGACTGAATGAGTTCACTCCATCCAAGTATGATGTCATCAAAACTTGTAAAGGTTATTAATCTCTTCAGAGCTGTTAAGAAGTTAAACTGGTTATGATTGGCTTGTTTTGTTATATTTTTATGAATAATCATTCTTTTTAGTTGTGATTTTCTGTAGAATTCATCCTATGTGCTTCCATGGTTTTAAGAATTTAGAGTCAGAGGCAAGAAAGTGGCCTGAAGTACCTGTCAGAAATTTGTCTACAGTAGTGTCATAAAGTGATTGTAGCTGATGTCATCCGATTTCTGGTGACATAGAATTATTGTGTCAAGGGCAAGAAATCATCCATGCATAGTAGCTTGGTAGTTGTTCCAGTGATAATGCCTATGAAAAAGCCACTTTTGAAGACTTAATTTAAGTACTCCCTGATGCCTGTCATAAATTATATTAAGCTCTCTTTGGATCCCCAGAATTTCCCAGTTTCTTAGAGTAGAAACCATTTTTCCATATCTGCTTGACAGTGCCAACCTCAAAAACAAATCCAGCTGACTAGTCAACGTATCATCCATGAAGAACATGATCCCAGGAGAATCCGATGTCATAAGAGTTTAAAACAAATTAAGAAAAGCTTTGACATGAAGTTCAGAATGGTTGCTGCTGTTGAAAAGCATGGAGTAGTCACACTATTTAGACACATAATACCGCCTATGGAATAAAGTGCTTTTTTCAGAACACAGGAACTGGGGCCCTTATCTGCAAAAATTAACTAATTCTAACAATTTTTTTTATGTTTAGAGCTTCAGAGTTGAAGTTTCAGAGTCTCATTTTAATGAGTTTAGACCTGGTTTATGGCTATAAAGCCTCTGATTTGTTTCTGACAGAGCCACAAGCTTTTGAAATGTCCTGTAATCCAGGAAAACTTGCCTTGAACCAGTGGTGGGAAGCTGAGAGATTCCAGTCTCATCTCTTCTATTTAAATTCCAG